TTCATTTTCAGAATTTTCTTATTTCTCTTACTTTTTTTTGCTTTGTCTTTGTCTTATTTGACTCAATATTTTCTTCACCTTCTGTTTTCATTTCTTCGTTTTATTTTATTTATTCTTATTTTTGGACTAAATTTCTTTGTTCGAGATATAGTTTGAGAAATATTACACTAATATCTATAAGAGATTAAAAACTGGTAAGGAGAATTAGAGAACTATATTTTTTTAACTGAAATGTGTTTAGTTTACTTAGGATACTAAAATGTAGAGTGGTTATGCATTTTTTTTAATGTTACAATTATTTCACATTATATATTTAGGATGTGTTAGAAAAATCTTAGATATTGATCACTAATGGCCCTTATATTTTTGATTTTTTAAATCGATATGTTGGACAAAAATTAATTACAATTTTTTAACAAAGTCGTGTATGGATCAATCTTCTGAAAATAAAATATTCAAAAAAAAAAAGGCAACAATGAACTGAATTTCGACAAAGATGCTTTAATCTATGTGAAAGTTGTTAAACTTAGCACATGATCGGAATAGTGAACTACGATTCTTAAATCTCCATGTGGTGAAAAATTATCATATATATAAAAAATTTTCTCTGAACTGCACATGTACTAACCATATTTTATTTTGATAATATGTTAACCATATAAAGAATTCGAGAAAAGTGTAGTTAAAGAAAGAAAAAAGTTCAACTATAATATAATGCGTAGCTAATTGCTTAGAACCTTACCACTCATTTTCATATTCCTCTCGTACACTAATTAGTTTAAAACCGATCCCATGAGTGCTCACGAGTTAGACCATGCAACATCACCTTACCAATTTTCTCTTTCCTAAACGTCACAAAAATGCAATAATCAAGATATTGATTCAAAAAATTATATAAAGTATGCATACATAAACAATATAAAAAAATAGGAATAAGATTACGATTATCTCCATATCTGAAAACCACATATGCTTTCAAATAATTGTCAACTTTATATACAACAAATTTATCAACGGCATCGTAGTTTTTGTAGTAACCACAATTTAATCATTGAAAACCCAATTCAAATAACCGATAGAGTATATAGAGAGAAATCGTTACCGTGTCTTAATTTATTTCAAAAAATTTTTTAAAAAAAAAACCTTAAGTAAAAAAAATATAGTCAAGAATGACAGTTTGAATTTCTCCAAAAGCGATAATATAGATTCTTTGGGAACAAACTCGAGAAGAATATTCAAAATGTCATCTTCCCTGTCCGAATATATCTAAGTCCGATAAAATAATAAATGAGTTTGATAACACAAGAAGTTGCTAGATCCATATGCATTAAAAAGAAGATAACCACAATTATTTACAACATAAGCTTAACTTCTTTTTTAAGCTCCTGAATATGATCCTTCGTAGCACCAAGTAGAAAAAGTAAGTCAATAACTCGATTGTATAAACCAATGGATGTTAAAAAGGAAAACTCAATACATATGTAACAACTATTTTGATCTTGGAGGTGATTGTTGTTGAATATTATTTGGTGAGAATGACCTTGACATGTGAAATAAACGGCTAACATGTTAGAAGAAAATAAAAAGATATGACAAACAAAATCATCGTACATTAGAAAAAGAGAATCAATCAAAATCGTACGAACTAAAAGCTCTAATGAGACTCCATTTTCAGTCGTCGTGATGACTCCACAAGCGTTTGTGAATCTCATCACTTTTTTCAATCTCGTTTCCTCCTAATTTACACAAACAGAAAATATATTATCAGTAGATAGGAATTATTGGAGTGCAAGAATTAGTAGAATCGCATATCCTTACGAAGAGATTGGTAGGTGACGTTTTAGGATTTTTAAAAATCATATTCAAAAAAAGAATATTAATTATTTGAAAAGCTTGCTCCATAACTCTATGGACTATATTAGTTAGGAACCTAAATAATGTGATTTTCAGCAACTAATTAAAATGTTTTACACCTATAACAATAAAGAATTTTAAAATAGAAAATCCAGTAATAATCTATTAAATCTTTTAATTTTTAAAATAATTTTTAAATTGCTAAAAACAAAATGAATTAATTAATGAAATATATTCAAATCTAGTAAAGGAAATCTTATTAATTTTTGTTTCTTAAACAGATTTGAATTTAATAGATAATCTTAATATATTTTTGTGCACCAAGATTTACTCAATTTAAATTATACAATTGATTATTATATGTTTAACTGAATTTAAAAAGTAATGTTAATGAAAATGTCAATCGAATGTTCTCACCATTTATTTACATTTGTTGTTGGGACTATAAATGCGTAATATTATAATATGTGTAATATTACCATTTTATATAAAATTTAGTATAATATTAAGTGAACATAAAATGCGTATAATATTGTTTTTTTTATAAAATCATTGATAAGATTTCAAAATTTCCTATTGGTTGTTAATGTTTTCTTAAAATCCGAAATTGGTTGATTTCAAAAAAATCTAGAAATTGT